TATCTTCATGAAAACCATCCTTGCAGTGGTGCGGAAATGTTATCGTAAATTTAACGAGGCAATCAACAAGGCAATTTTTTATAGCTTTATACCCTTTAAAAAAGCGTTAAAGGAACTCCATTGAGGTTTATTATATGTTGAGGGCTTGAAAAATCATTTTGAGATTTTTAGCACCATTTGATGATACCAATAACTTTTAAACTTGTCTCACTCACTCCAGTTTTTCCTGTGTGCAAACACAAAAAAAATGAAAAGCCTTTTAATGTTTTTAACTGAAGTCTGGCTAATAATCGCAAAGAAAAAATGTTTTTCAATTTAATTTTCTGATTATATTTCTTAATTATCTTTTACAGTTACAATTTTGAGTGTCTCAGTTGATCATATTTTATATTTTCTTTGGACCTCAGTGAAACTCCTTAAAACTTTTAAAGAGATCATAGATGTAATTAAATTAAAATTGCTATAAGCAGAAAACCTTTAAATTTATGTAAAAAATATACATGTAATGAACATTAAACCCTAACTCTTCAGAATTTGTGATATGGACCTGTCCATCTTCAATTTTTGTGTCGCCTCTACGGATTAGTGGCGACATATAGGGATCACTTCTCCGTCGTCTGTCTGTCCGTCTGTCCGTCCATCCGCACTCACAGGAGAGTAATTATGTGGCTAGAGGGACAATAGGTAACTGTTCTTTCTATTTGATGTCATTCATTCCATAATGCTTTTATGTGGCTATTTTCTTTTGTGTGGCTAAAAAGAACAATAGAGAGAACAATAGAGTAGCCACATAATTACTGTCCTGTGAGAACGTCCGTCCGCCCTTCCGTCCGTCACAAAACTTATCCGGACCACTCCTCATGAACTACTGGTGCAATTTCATCCAAACTTTACAGGAATGATCAGTACCAAGTCTAGTTGTGCATATTGTCAGCATTTTCTGGTTCAATGATTTTTGTAAGAGTTATGGCCCTTTAATAATTTTTATTTTTAAAGTTTGTCCGGACTACTTCTCTTATACCACTAATGCAATTTCAATGAAACTTTACAGGATTGATCTGTAGCTCAAGTCCTTGCGCATATGCACAGGTTTTCCGGTTGAATGATTTTTGATTGAGTTATGGCCCTTTGACAAAAAGGTGTTTTTTTTCTGTGTGTTGCCAGATACACAAAAGTTTGTCCGGACTACTTCACTTAAACTACTGGTGCAATTTCATCCAAACTTTACAGGAATGATCAGTACCAAGTCTAGTTGTGCATATTGTCAGCATTTTCTGGTTCAATGATTTTTGTCAGAGTTATGGCCCTTTAATAATTTTTATTTTTAAAGTTTGTCCGGACTACTTCTCTTATACCACTAATGCAATTTCAATGAAACTTTACAGGATTGATCTGTAGCTCAAGTCCTTGCGCATATTGCACTGGTTCCGGTTGAATGATTTTTGGCCGAGTTACGGCCCTTGGATAAAAAGGTGTTTTTTTCTGTGTGTTGCCAGATACACAAAAGCTTGTCCGGACTACTCCTCATAAACTACTGGTGCAATTTTATCCAAACTTAACAAAAAATGGTGAACAAACTATCTGTCATAGGTTGAAGATTGTGTCGGTATATGTGCAACAAATGTGCTTGAAAAATGGGAAAACATGCTTAAATAGTGCTTAAAAAGTCCTTGAATTTTGGCATTGGATTTCTGCACGAACCCTGTTATAGAATCTGGTCACACTGCACATATATTCAGGCCAGCCTAGGTCTACACTGGTGGCAAGGACTAGTCACTTGGTTCCAGCTTAAGGGTTAACATTGTTAATATGATAATGAAATTTCAGTTGTTAATGTTGAAGAATACAAATTCTTTGTTACTGGTTCTTAGTTTATTTACCAAACACTAATCTTATTAAGAAGACTTTCAAATTTTTTTTATATATTTTTACAACATTTTGAATCAATGAAATAAAATTTTCATCATGATTTTCTGTGTTTGTGCTCATTATTTACTGGTTTGCTTGGAAGAAAAAGTTTAGCGACTATGATCGCTATAGTGTGATTTGTTGACATGTAAATACTTTCATGTAGCCCATTATTCAAACATTTTAAGAGTTATCAATATGAAACATGTTATATACTTGCATATCTTGACAAGTTATAGTTGTTAGACAAGGGAAATAATTCTGAAAACTATAATGATTTGAGTTGACTGTTGAGTCCATTTTTAGCTCGAATATACGTAGTATATGGAGAGCTGTCCGTGTCCAGATTTTAGATTAAAGTTTTGGTGCAGTAAAATATTTTTCACTGTAACCTTTTCATTTCTTAAGGTATCAACTTCAAATATATGTTCCTTATCATCAACCACATCTTATGTGACAAGGTTCATAACTTTAGTACCAATATTTTAGGATTTATCTCCCCTTGAACTTAGAATTTTCCTATAACAATACTATTTTTACTGTTACTTCTTTATTTCTTAAATCCATGTTCCTTATAATTAACCACATGTTATGTGACAAGGTTCATAACTATAGCACCAATTTTTCAAGAATCATCTCCCCATAAACTTGGATTTTTTACTGAAAAATGTTTTTTATAATAATTTCTTTATTTTTAAAGGTATCTACCTCAAACTTCAATAACTTATTCTTTACCATCAATTACATTTTATGTGACAATGTTCATAACTCTTGAAGCAATATTTACAGATTTATCTCTCTTTGAACTTAAGATTTTCTTAAAGAAATATTATAACTTTTTTACTTTTTAAGTTATCTACTTCAAACTTCAGATATATATTTCTTATCATTATACTCATGTTGTGTGACAAGGTTCATAACTCTAGCATGACTATTTCCAGAATTATTCCCCTTGATCTTGGAATTTATGTTAAATGTCATTTTTTTTACTATAACTTAATACATAATTATACATAATTGATTTTTCTTTCATAGTTTTGTCCTTACCTGTGTCCAGTATTTTATTAGTCGAGCTTCGCTGTCTCAGCTCTTGTTACCTAGATTACTATATTAAATCATTTTATGGCTTTAATGAGTAAAATATAATGCATCATACACCTAAACGACAAAGATTTTGTGTAAAATATTTTAAATTTACAGATTTTTACGTAAAACAGAACAAAATTTTACAAACTTCTGCAAAAAGCAAACAATCCGTTAAATTTGTGCATACGTCTGAAACGATCATCATTTTCTAAATGTTCTTGTTTGTTGAAAAAATAAATTTTGAGTTACAAAGGAAAGTTACATTAATATTTAAAAACAAGCAAAATAACATGTAGAAATTTTAACTGAAACATGAAAAAAAATGTCATAAAACACCATTACCGCGATTTAAATGATGACTTACTGTTTTCAAAATGGTCAACATATGGTGTACGTCTGGCCCATTTATACTGATTTTGACTGAATATACCGTTGTTTACTTGTGTAATACAGCAGAAAATACCTGTATGTTACAGCTTATGACAATTATAGTACCATAAGTTTCATGCGTTGTTTTCTTTCTTGTTTCAAAGCGTTAAGTACCTTGAACTAAGAGGAGCACGAGCACAATATACAAGAAAGGAAAAAACTTGAGATTGCATCCTAGCTGAAGACATGAAGTTAACCGGAACCTGACTTACGGGAATGACCAAACGCTACCGATTATGTACAAACACGTTAGTAAACATGCAGTTGACCGAAGCCTTAATATTGGGAAGGCCAAAGCACCAGCGGTTGTATCCGATATGGTTGAATATAGCAGTGATAATTTACGCTTGCTAATAATGGAAAGAGATGATAATTAATTCAAAACAAGCGGATGTGCGTAGGTTTTTCAGTCAATGAATTCTTTGCAGTTTTTTGAAAAACTGCAAATAAACAGGATTTTTGTTATTTTGGTAGTACCAATGTTTACTACACGGTAAGACAAACAGTACTTGATATTTTTTTTAAAATTTCAGAAATAGATTTACGGAAGTATTAAACACCGGTCATTTACCTTAATAAAGTGACTCAAAACCATGGATGGTTATTGTGAAATGTACTAGAATGATAGACAAAAATGTGCTCGTTATACCTAATGCCTGGGAAATGCTATCATTTTCATTTAAAAGAATTTACTTTTATTTTTCGTATCTTGTTACAGTTTCCAAATACATACTTATTTACCATATACGTGAACTATCTTTTGCATTATAGTATATTAAAATACTACATGCTTTGTTAACATTTTGCTACCTTCACGACCATTACTGCATATTCAGTCATTCTTTCTTCAGTTGTTAAACATTTAACATGCTCAAAATCTATTATTTAATCATAATTAAACACACGTTTGACATTTCTAAATAATTAAAAGTATACAATCCTAACGCATAATGTGCCTTTAAACAAATGATATATTCATGTATAAAAGGTTCTCATAATACTGTACGATTGTAATGTCGCTCGGGAAAGTTTATATTAAGACTATTGTCATTTTTTTATGAAATAAAGGAAATTTGCTGCAGTATAGATTCGTTATAACGATTATTACGAATATATAAAGATATAAAGAATATCATATAATTATGACAGATTCTATGATCGTATATAAACGAGTGTTACCCTCGCCGCTACGGTACCTCTGCTCTGGTATGTACAGAAGAAATCAGTTCCTTACGGAAGTGGAGGCAACTAGTACTGGTAAACTGCTTCACAGCCTTCCCAGGAAAGAAGCGGTGGCTGAACCGTGCTCTGATAAATTCAATGTTGCTTACTGTCGAGACCTGGAGTGAAAACTACCACCACCACCACGCCACTATATAACATACGAAGGAATCGATTATACACATGTATTTGTACAATAGGAAGTTAGGATCATTTTTGATATGAAAACAAACAATTTAATTGGAAAGGTAAACTAGAGACATTTATTGCATATATAGCTTCATGGTTAAACCATGTATATATCCTTAAATTATCTTTTTATCAGTGACTGTCTATGTAAAATTCATGGAGGTTGTGGCATCAAATATGAAAATGTGTCAGATTTTCAGCATTTAAAATAATAAAAAAATATCACCTTACCACATAATAAATAAGTGTAATTCCGCTGATTAATTGCATGAATTCAAATGATATGTATGCTTCTCTATTTTTTTTATTTATTTTGCTCTTTTATGTTTGCTGTTTCAGAATCGCAGATGCTTGATAAACACTTATTACGGGTTATTTCCTACAAAAATAGAAACATCACAATGAAAAAGGTCACTGCACGATTTAAACGCACAAACGTGATTTCTTCGAATGTTTATAGCAGATTTTCAAGCTATTTTGATCTAAGGAAAGACAGTCCTAGTCAAGGAGGCCAAATATAAACTCCACATACAAAAATAAAAAAAATATTTTGTACTCAATTTTTACCGCCACTCCTGAAATATTTTTTATTTTCATACCACTTGATAAAGATAAATCTCGAAAAAAAAAATAATATTCTCTGTTCATTTAGATCTACTAGAGAAAAAAAATATTGCAATAATAAATATATCATTATTTACACACTTATTAAAAACATGAATATCCTCTTTTTATTTACTAGTTTAGAGAAAAAAAGTACATGTACATGTATATTGCAATAAAAATTTATTCATTATTTACTAATTGTATTACTATCTAGTTAAATGTAACTTATATTTGATGAATACAGCAACTGAAACAAGTTAGATAAACAATGGATATTTAAATAAACATCTAGTAAAGTAATAAAAAAAATTAGGCTTATAGCTGAATTATTATTATTTTGCGTTTACTTCGGTTTGCAGAAACCTAAAATGTCGCAAAGAAAACGTCTCTTAAACCCATGTTTGTACTTGTAGGGTTGCATATACCACTGCTTTCTGGCCGTCTTATCATTGGGTTCCCAGATAGATGACGGATTAATAAGTTTACACAATCGCTGAAATGTAACAAAATTAATATTTGACTATTTTATTACAATGCTAAAACTGCTGTTAGGTTTGGAAAGTCTGAGAAAACTAAACATAAATATCAGTCATCCTAGTAAATGAGCAATCGCTCAAATGTAGAATTTTACTTTACACAATCGCTAAAATGGAGACATTTCTTAACACAACCGATGAAAAGAAGTCATTTACTAAACACAATCGCTCAAATGAAGACTTTTGCATGTACATTACACAATCGCTCAAATGAAGTCATATACTTTACACAATCGCTGAAATGAAGACTTATAATTGTACTTTACACAACCGCTGAACTGAAGACATAAACTTTAGCAATCGCTGAAATGAAGACACATACTTAAGCAATCGCTGAAATGAAGACATAATCTTTAGCAATCGATGAAATGAAGACTAATACTTTAGCAAACGCTGAAATGAACACATACACTTAAGCAATCGCTGAAATGAAGACTAATACTTTAGCAATCGCAGAAATGAAGACATAAACTTTACACAATCGCTGAAATGAAGACATATACTTTCGCAATCGCTGAAATGGAGACATATACTTTACCAATCACTGAAATGAAGACATACACTTAAGCAATCGCTGAAATGAAGACTAATACTTTAGCAATCGCAGAAATGAAGACATAAACTTTACACAATCGCTGAAATGAAGACATATACTTTCGCAATCGCTGAAATGGAGACATATACTTTACCAATCGCTGAAATGAAGACATATACTTAAGCAATCGCTGAAATGAAGACATAATCTTTAGCAATCGCTGAAATGAAGACATATACTTTAGCAATCGCTGATATGAAGACACATACTTTCGCAATCGCTGAAAGGAAGACATAAACTTAAGCAATCGCTGAAATGAAGACATATACTTTCGCAATCGCTGAAATGGAGACATATACTGTAGCAATCGCTGAAATGAAGACATATACTTAAGCAATTGCTGAAATGAAGACATAATCTTTAGCAATCGCTGAAATGAAGACACATACTTTCGCAATCGCTGAAATGAAGACATACACCTAAGCAATCGCTGAAATGAAGACATATACTTTCGCAATCGCTGAAATGGAGACATATACTGTAGCAATCGCTGAAATGAAGACATATACTTAAGCAATCGCCGAAATGAAGACATAATCTTTAGCAATCGCTGAAGTGATATCATATAATTTCGCAATAGCTGAAAGGAAGACATATACTTTACAGAATCGCTGAAATGAAAACATATACTTTAGCAATTGCTGAAATGAAGACATATACTTTACACAATCGCTCAAATGAAGACACATGCTTTACGAAATTGCTGGAATAAAGCAAATTTATTACACAATCTATGAAATGAACACATAAACTTTACACAGTTGCTTAAATAATGATATATATACTTTATACAATCGCTAAAATAAAAGACAAATATTTTACGAAATAGCTGGAAGGAAGCAAAATCCTTACACGATCGCTGAAGTAAAGACATATATTCTTTACACGATCGCTGAAATGTAGACACATACTATACACGATCGGTGAAATAAAAACATATACTTTACAATATCGATAAAATAAAAACATATACTTCACACGATCGGTGAAATAAAAACATATACTTTACAATATCGGTGAAATAAAAACATATACTTTACACAATCGCTAAAATATTGAGATAAACATAATACATATACAAAACGGTTGCATATTTTTATGTAACCAGTATAATATAGAGAAAAATTTTAATACCCTATGTCTAAATTTAAACAATCGTTGAGAATGTGAGATTTGATGCATTATTTTGCTATTGAAAATATAAACTTTAATTTGTACACCTTTTTTGTTAATAGAATTTACTCTTATAACCAAATTCTTTTTAAATATTAAAAATAAAACTTTCATAATTTTAAAAACAAAAATCTGCTACTATTCTTGGAATGCACTGGTTAATAAAAAATACGCACCCTCATTTAAAACTAAAATTTTAGGTTTTTTTTTTTTTCAAATGTCTCCAAATACATTAGTTTTAAGACAGACATAATTTTAACAGATATTAGTTCCACAAACATTATCGTATTTCAATGCTTAGAGTCTTGTCCCCATTCCCATCTCTTTCCGCCTCTTCTTTCCAAATTCAATAGAGAAATGTTCAATATGCTGGCAGCCCAGTTAAATAAGGTAAACTTACTTGTTTCAGCGATCCCTGTGATACAATAACTTGATAATCAGCCATTAGAACAACAACAGACATTGGTCCAAAGGCAAACAGGTTTCCAATGACAAGAGCGTGAGTTGGGTACTGATATTTATCTTTATCTAGATCAGGAACCGAGTAAGAACTTACTGCGGTGATCAGTATACCCTGAAAAACGAATATTCAAAGATTTTATTCAGAAAATAATTGGTCATATTTTCGTTTTTTTTTTTCTTCATCGTACTTTCAACTTTCATTACCGTGGCTTTGACTTTTCACCATCGCACTTTCGACTTATTATAATCGTACCTTCGACTTTCCAGTAGCGAGTTCCGCATTTAAGCCATCGTAGTTTCGACTTTTTACCATACTATACCTTGTGGATTTACGCCTTTCTGTTAAACTGCGCTTTGAAAAGATGCCATTAGATTCTGAAGAAGGTGCGTATTTAAAGGGTTTTCCATCAATTAATCTATATATTTACGGTACGTTAAGGTTATACTTGATAGTTTAACATTTTAAACTATTGTTAAGATATAATTGGATGTACGGTACTATTTTACATACGGGTAGATGATAATGTCGTAGGATAAGAATTTATGTAAAATGTACACTGCCAAAATTTTGTTTGATGATTTTATAGTCCACTACGGATTTCCTGGTAGGATTCATAGTGACCAGGGACAGAATTTTGAGTCGCATCTAATCAAAGAGCTCTGCAGTCTGGCTGGCATTGAGAAAACAAGAACAACGCCTTACCATGCTATGGGGAACGGAATGGTCGAAAGATTTAATCAAACGTTACTCAAGATGCTTGGGACTCTAGAGGAGCATCAAAAGTCCGATTGGAAAGCCCATGTTCCGAGTCTGGTCCATGCATACAATGCAACCCGTCATGAAAGTGTCGGCTTCTCTCCGTACTTTCTTATGTTTGGACGTCATCCTAGACTCGCCATTGATGCTTTTCTAGGGTTACCTACTGATGGTCTTTCATCAAGCATCCATTCGGAGTATGTGATTAAACTTAACGACCGTCTCCGTTCCGCATATGCAAAGGCTCGAGAAACCGCTGTTAAAACATCTGCAACAAACAAGGCTTATTATGATCAAAAAGCTAGAAGTTCCGTTCTTCAACCTGGAGACCGAGTGCTAGTCCGTAACGTTTCAATACGTGGAAAACAAAAACTAGCAGACAAATGGGAACACAGTCCTTATATAGTTGTTAGTCAACCTCTTGAGGACATACCTGTTTACGAGGTTAAAAAGGAAGGTTCTCGTTTCAAGAAAACAAGAACTCTTCATAGAAACCTCCTTTTGCCATTTATGTCTATTTCAGATGTTCCAGTTGAAGATAAACAAATGGAACTTGACATTGTAAATGACTCTGGTGATTTACAAACAGACGTAGATGTTACAGATGCAGAGCACGTTTCTGTTGAGAATGGTATGAATCTGAATAATGATTGTTCTTTTTCTCATTCTGATATTTCTATTTCAGGTGAACATGATGATGATGAAATACAACCTGAACAGTCATCTAGACCAGTAAGGACACGAAGGCAGCCAAATTGGATGTCGACAGGCGACTGGAAACTTTAGATTCAAATAAAATATTGATGACTCTTAATCCGTACGCTACTACATGTATATAAGTATGAGTTGTTATTTTGTTTTCTCTACTCGTATAACACCTATTTGATGTGATTCTCATGAATAATGTTAAAACTGATATTTTTCAGTGCAATGATATTACTTACCTTTATCTAATGTGCTTCTATTTGCACCCTTAGGGATTTGATGGACTCGACTTATGTACAAATGTCAGATACTTACCATTAAATGATGTATACTTACCTTTTCTGGAGGTTATTCATGCAACTTAGCATCTTAAGAATGATTGTAGATCTTGTTGTCGTTGTCCAATAAGATGTTTTCTTTTTGTTTCATTGAATTAAAATTAATGACAACTTATTTATTGTGTAATTACTCATTTGTAGACATCTACCAATGTTAGTAATACCAAATAGAGCGAATATAACACCTCTGGTGGAGTACTTGTAAATTTTGTAACCCACGTTTTGTACTTTTTGTTGTTAATTTTGTCATTTTACTTTTATAACATAAGTTTTATACTTAAGATATTAGTGAGTGTAATTTGTAATAATGGGAGACGTACAGAAAAGTCAGGAGCCTTTTTAACGAACCTGGAGGAGTATGTCGTAGGATAAGAATTTATGTAAAATGTACACTGCCTTATATTTTGTTAATCATTTCAAATAAAATATATTAACTGTATCTAAATGCGTTACATGTTATTTGACCCCTGATCCTATACCGTTATATCTCTCTATATTTCTATCATTCCTATCTCTCATTGTTACTAACCTGTCACCCGTAAACTTAATATGCTATGTTCGGGTATGTTGTGTGATGCTCCATTGCACTTCATATTTGACCATTTCATGTTATAGTTGTATAATTATATTTATATTGTGTAAATATATTCTTTAATAAATATCTTGGATATTTCAGGTTAGTAATCTTTGAGAGTTATAATTTAAACTATAAAATTATTACAGAATGTCTTTATTGGTATATTTAAATAGGTTTTGATAAGTTACTTACAATACTTACCTGGAATACTTACCTAATTGTACATGTAGTTATTACATACCTGTATCATACACTCAACCTTATGTTATAATTGTTAATGGCACTTCATATTTGACCATTTCATGTTATAGTTGTATAATTATATTTATATTGTGTAAATATATTCTTTAATAAATATCTTGGATATTTCAGATATTTGCATTTGTTGTGTCTTGTGTCAGTCGATATATTACCCCACCTATAATACAAGTAACTGCCGACTGGGTTACGTCGACAATAATATAACATTTTTAACATAGATATAAACAAACGGCTTTTATCACAATAATCCACACATGTTGCAATGAATACTTAAAATCTTTTTTGCGTAGCTTTTTCTCATGATTTATTAACAACTGTTGCAGAGTTATAAATTTATTGTGATTTATCGATACCATAGTTCGATAAACAACTGTCGGAGGGAGTCAAACCTCCATTGATTTAAAAATCTAAATAAAAAAGATAAAGAAACTTTTACCACGATAGTATTTAAATTATACATTACCCCAATAAAAACCGGAATAACAAACACCCAAATAATTCTAAGAAGCAAAGATGGCCGAGTTCCTCGCATCATCTGTATGTCTGAACAAAATCTGTTAGCCCCTACAATAGATATACCGTAAATTGTTTTTATTATCAAATATAATTTTACATCAGACGAACATGTAAATAGAAATGTAAACCTTGAAATGAACATTTTAGAGGTCTTTTCTGCTTCTTTTTTGGTACTTTGCCATTTTTGCATAAGTACTTGTTTTCGGGACAAATCCCCTTTTAACTAATCAGTAGCTGTCAAAATTAACCTTCTGTAACGATTTTAACGTACAATTCGTTTTTTAAATATCCGCCGTTTTTCACTGGTTATAATTACTTGAGGGCGTTTCCTTTAACAGAATTACCCTGTATATATAACCTGAAACATGTCGTCAGCTTCATTAATACATTTTATCTAATTTTCTCGAGATTTTAAAAGTAATAAAAGAATGGCTGTCTAACAGTTCTGGTCACTAACCAGACGCTGAGCTACTCGGCACAAAGGTCTGGTACAAAAGATACTATGATCGGTATTTTCAGGCTAAGATTTAATTACCATATATCCATGATATGACGAAACACTCCATGAAACATATGAACACAAGGTTAAAAGTCGCCATGTACCAATCCACGAGAACAAAAATGTAAAATCCAGCCTGTAAATATAAAATACACATAAGTATCATGTCATGTACAAGTACTTAAATCATGTTATCATGTTATCATGTACACTATTGTGTATCAATATCAATCTGAAAATTATACACAAAAAATCGGTTTCTGTATTGTGATGTCTTTCTCCTTCTAGTCGGATTCTGTATTGTGACGTCTAGCTCCTTCTAGTAAATTGTTTATTTTCCTTCTTATTCCGATTATGTAACACTTTCTAAGTCCCTGGTGGATTCTTTATACAACAAATCTCAGTATTTCACTGATTGTAATAAAAACATAAAGGTATGAAATCAATATACAGTTGTACATTATTTAAAAGAATTTTTAAACAATTGATTCCAAATATAAATATAATTCTATAAAAGCCCGCAAAATTTTAACCCACAAATAGTTGCTGATGATTTGAAATATAAACTAACTGTCTGTCAAAGATTATTCAAATTCCATTTTCCCCATTAAACAACCCATGATCGATCACCGAAGATCCACTGCAGGAAAATTGTGATAATTTTTAAATACATATATAAGATAAGATCATACTAGGGGTATCATTTTTTCACCACATACAGTTACGAGTTATGAAATATTTGTAACGGTTGGCTTTAAAAGAAACATGCCCAATAGCTAGCCACTCAGAACTGTTTCACACAAGAAGACTCATATATTTTTATTCCTATATGAGTCTATATAAACTAAATGATTTTGACCCTAAGTCAATCATTCATAATTACCATTCATAATTTTTATAGAGTATCACAAGGTGATGTTACATGATAGATTTTTGCTGCTCTGAGCACTGTAGTTACGGAGAAGATTTTTAAGACAGGTATAAGTTTATGCAAACAAAAGTAACATCCCAGGGAAAACCATTTTAGACGTCATGGGCCTGCCACGAGGGGTACTTAGTTTTGAAAGTCTTGTTTAGGGTCAGTCACTTGTAAGGCCTGTTAAGGAGAACTACAGTGCCTAGAGCTTAGATATTCAGCATCTAACATTTCCAAGTAGAGAAGACCTCTTTAAAAGTTACGCTCTTTGCGTCACTTAGTGTTTATATATTATACATAGTAAATAGTGCTGCATATTAGCCTATTTTAATATCATATTTAGAGGGGTAACTGGTCTATGTCAGGCAACAGCAAGTCTATGTCAGCCAAGTTCATACACCAAAATGTTCGTCTGGATATGTAGTTTCTGGAAAGGATATTAATTTGCCCAAACCCCGATGCGAAGCTGAGATGTCAAAGATGGCCACCAAATCCCTAAATATTCTAGTATATTTACTTTGACTTATTTCTTTCTCATTTTTGTTAATCAATTGAAATTTTATATGAAATTTCTTATTTTTTACTAGCTTATGCTATAAACATTGACTTTATTGCATTCTTTTCATGTTTTCATCGTCTAATTTTAACGAAAGAAGAAAAAATATGTTGCAAACTGGGTGTTCTTTTCTTAATATGTCTATACTTTATAGTTAAACTTTTCTCTGGCGGGTATTTGATAGTAATACTAGGTGCTTGGGGCGTAGACGGTAACTTGCACTTTTCAGTATCGTCCATAAACAGGCCCTATTAAACCGAGCATGCAACAGCAGGTTTCAAGTGTTGTGTGGTGGCCGTAAAATGTTGCATCTTACTTAATTTCAATGTTATATTTATAGGTCCTTTGGGATCATTGATTGCTTATTTTTTTAGTTGAGGATTGAATGCTACTAAATCGGTACTAAGATGTGTGAGAGATGTTGCAAATAACATTGTCTCTCATCAGACCCAATCATATCGAGCCTTAATTATCAACTTTTCATTGTTTTATTGGCCTCAAAGGACCATCACTTTTCCTGAATTTTACAATCATAATGCAAATGACATGTTATCTGCACCTGATAGCTGATTTACTTTTATACTGTTGTGAGAGGGATTTTATGTTAAAAATCTGGGAACAAAGTGATCCCTCGGAAGCATTAATCACAACAAAATTACAAGAGAATTGCAGACTCGGTTTGATTGAGTCTGTACATGAGGGATAATGAATACGTGCAACATCCCTCACGCACCCTAGCACCGGCTTGAGCGGTACTCAATTCTCAACACTTAATAGTGCAGCATCAATGATCCCGAAGGACCAGAAAAATATAACAACACTGAAGTGAAGTACGGGGCAAATTTTTACAGCTGCCATACAGCACTTGACACCTGCTGTTGTGAAGTATAAAATTCTGGAAACAAAGTGATCCTTCGGAAGCATTAATCACAACAAAATTACAAGAGAATTGCAGACTCGGTTTGATTGAGTCTGTACATGAGGGATAATGAATACGTGCAACATCCCTCATCCCTTAAGTCTCTCTCCTAATTCACAACCGGAAGTTATACATAAAATAACACATCCCACTACCTAGATGATATCCTTCACATTAATAATCCTTATATTGATCAAATTAGATCAAATGAAATCTCAAATATGTCCAAGTGAACTTAAAACGAATAAAATAAACTCTTCATTTTTTTTAGATTTAAACATTCTATCCTTAACTATATCATAGTAACTATAAAATATATAATAAAGAAATGACTTTTAAATATCGTTTACTATTCGCCGCATGTACTTCATACAACATCATGTTGGGTATATATTTAAGTTAATTAGATTTGCCAGGATCTGCTGTCGTGTGGTTGATTTTAAAAGAAAACGCATGGACACAATGGTATCATAAATTACGTGAATATTTTACAAAGTTCTCCCATCGTAAATTCAGACATATTATAGAATTCAATTGTACTCTTTTACGACTAGCTATAAGCAAGCCTGATTTCTTTGATCATGGGTCATGGTGGTTTTTATAAGCATTTTTTAAAAGAGGCTATGGCCCAGTTATTCTACAGCGTACCACAAGCTTGGTGTTTGACTTTGACCCTTTTACAGTCGGACGCTACGCTTTCTTCATCTCTTTGTTGCATGGACGAAGTGGGAGACTTTATAATGGACAGTTCTAAATATATTTCACACTGAATTGTTTTAATTTTCGTCTTCTGTCTTGCTTTGTTGGTCCCTTAGGCGATTTTTTGTTGCTTTGTCTTCCATTCAGGCATCCCTATACATTTGTTGCCCATAAGGCTGTACCTTTTTGTACATATTTACATCATCATTTATGTGTTTTATTAATTTCGTCTTATGTAACCATGACAACTGTTAGAATTATACTTTGCGGGGATTCATTTTATTTACACTGTCTCGTCATATAGGAACATACCAATAGTTGTCATTGCAAGCTACAGTCCACATCTTCAATTCTACATTAACTAGTATAATTTTAAAGGAAGTGAAGAAACATCCAAAGATGTATTCTCACGACAGTGCAATGACTAGTTTTCCCCCCAATGTAAAAGGGTTTCGGGGCCAATTTTCCCACGAAAAACGGCTTTATATTTCCCCAAAAAAATAGAAAAAAAAATTGGGCAAAACCCCAAAATTTAAAATGTTTTAAAAAAAGGGGACAAGGGTTCAAAAGAAAATTTCAAAAAGCAAAAAACACCCAAAAGGGGGTTATTAAACCCGTTTTTTTAAAAATGGGGGAATTTTAAAAATCCCCAGAACCACCCCAACCCCGGAAAAATGTCCAAAAGAAAAAAATTTTTAAAATCCCCGCAACAAAATTTAATAATGAAAACCCAAAACCCGTTTCTTCATAAAAAACAATATGTTATATCCGATTTAATGCATGGTTCATGAAACTGAAGGTCAACAGAGTAATGATACATGTAGATACAAATATCATACTTTTAAAATGACTGGTTAGACAATTTAAGCGACTTTAACAAACGAATAACATTTCATTTAACATAAAAATAAATGAAAATGGCTTTTAGTATACTATTAAAAAACCATGCTTATTAAATTGGTAATATATTTTTAAATAAATAATTAGATCTTAAAAGATACCTCTAACGGTATCATTATTTCAAAATCAACTTATGTTTATTTACTTTCGTAAATATTGTCATCCACATATATAATCAGCATAATCAAGGGATCAGACTTTCTCCAGATTTTTATTCGCATCTACTAAAATAGTAGGTAGGTTACGATTTGACCAGTAATTCATTAAACAACAAGAAACAAATTATCATATTCCTTTATAATTGTGTTAATCTATTACATGGTATATGCAATAAAGGACCTATAATATGACAGAAACACAAAGTAGGGGGAAATAATTGATAGGACAAATAAGCACGAGTTACAACATTAGTTTAAAACTCTTTAAATGTAGCGCCTCCTATTTTATATGTCTTACTGCTTAATTGTAAACAAAGAGTTTCCTTCAGATATGATATGAATACATTTAAGCATTACTCTCGTGAATACATTACAATAGTAGAATAGCAAAATAAGTAATAAGTATTGCTCTGTTTAAGCATGGACAAGACTATCATAGCAAGAACCCATACGTTTAGTATTATTTTGCATATTTATGTATGAAACAGCAAAAAACCATCTGTTTTCTCCAATAAAATTAAGCCTCTTCTTATAAAACGCTTTAAATGACCTTTTCCGTGTGCAATTGTTTACTTGAAATACAAAAGAGGAAATAAATATGAGCCAACATTATTTTTTTAGAATATTTAGGGATCTGGCGGCGATTTGCAGAACTAAAAGTGTTTAAAAAATCTTCTCAAAAAGCAGAATGCATAGAGCATTGACACTAATCATGTATCATCATCTTGTGTCTTTATGCATCAACTAAACACAATACATGTACATGTTTTTCTTTTTAAAAAGCCAGTGACCGGTCGGAGGATGGGATATTTACAAAACTAGGAATGGCCTGAAAGTAATTACTTACGGACGATGCTACTGGAAGACCAAGAACCGATAAAGCAACCACTACAATGGCCGATATATGTAGTCTGTATTTTCCGTATTTCTTCAGATTCAGATCTAAAATAGCATTGGTAATGGTTTCGAACATACTAAACTGAAAATATGGAGAAAAAGAAGATAAAACAGTTAGTGATGATTCTACGAAAACGTCATTTGGCCTTTGTCTATTCACTCAATCAGTGTGTACTTAAACCGGTATTTTCTACAAACTTCTTTATTCTTAAATGTTTTTTTGTTTGTATTTTGGGTTTTACGTCACATCGACACAGTATAGGTCATATCGCGACGTTCCAGCTTTACTGGTGGAGGAAGACCTCAGGTGCCCTTCCGTGCATTATTTCAGGCACGAACGGGCACCTGAGTAGAACCACCGACGTTCCGTAAGCTAGCTGGATCGCTTCCTCACATGAACGAATCCAAAGTCCCTGTCGGGATTCGAACCCACAGCGGTGAGGGGCAAGTGATTTGAAGTCGACGACCTTAACCACTCGGCCACGGACGCCCCATTTTTAAATTTAATAAGATTTCTAATGTAATTAATATTCGCCTGTTTTAAATTTTTATAAGAATATCTATCATCAAAGATCCATTGCTTAATAGTAAAGTCAGAAATACTGACACATTACTTATCATTTATGTTACTGTAGTATTCTAAAACCATTAATTATAGATGTTACATTAAAGTACATGTATATTAAAAAGCAAACCTGGGTATCTATGCCAACAAGTACCAAGGTAAGAAAAAACAGCACCGACCATAAATGAGGTAGAGGAAGGCGACTAAGGGCTTCTGGATAAGCAATAAATGCAAGCCCAGGACCTGGAAAAGCAGTTATATATTACGCACATACATGCTTGTTTTGTTTTAAACAAAATTTTTGTTAAAATTCACATATATTTTGTAATTATTTTTAAATATTATTTACACATTATGCCTCAGAAACGATTATTTTTTTTTCTTTTTCAAAATAAGTTTTAAACAAATCTAAAGGAAACACTAGTCTGATAAGTAATGATAATTTAATGCATCACCATCAATGGATAACTGTGATAACCTACCTGAAAATGGGAGGTCATGCAAAGCAATTCCAGTCTCTCTAGATAAGAAACCTAGTACTGCATACACCACAAGGCCTCCGTAAAAGCCAGTGAATACATCGGCCGTACAAACAATAACGGTATCTCTTAAAATAGATCAAATTTTTATCATATTAAATTATATCAATCGAATCATTTGAAAATCACAATAGCCAGTTGCTGTGATAGAAAACGTACCTTTTTACTTTATTTAAGTGTTGTTATGTTATGTTGATACACATTCTGTTTAACGAAGAACAGTTGTTTCTTGTACATGTATTGTATTCTCATAGATAATCGGAGCTTAGATTTTTTGTTGGCTTTTACGTCGCACCAACACTGTAAGGTTATGTGGTGACTTTCCAGCGTTACAGGTGGGGGAAAACTTCAAGTGCCTCTTGATCCGTGCATTATTTCTGACACAAACTGGAATCTAAGATCTTCCACCATCGACGTTTAGTAAGCTAGCTGGATAGATTCTTCAAATGGAAGAATCAATAGTCCTTGGCGGGATTTGAACCATAAGCGGGTTTGAAGAACCACTTAACCACAACGCCCCTTTTGTGTACAAAATGAAAAAAATAGTTCAACAACCCAATCCGCCATTGGTAGATCCATTCTCCGACTTTTTATTTGAATTACAAAATTTTTAACTATAAACACTGTTCTTTTGTTAACAAATACGGTGTGGTAAAATTCTTTTATTGTAATTTATCATTTAATCTAATAATTTAAAATAGGCGGATAAAAGTCATTCAGGATCTATGCATTGTGAAAAAGGTAACTTACCTAAGGGCATTGTGACTGAATTTATTGAAACTTGCCATGGTAATAACACCGCCCCATGCGGGTCCAAGAGAATAAAAACTCATTACAGCTGCCTCGGTCCATAGCTATAATTTAATCAACAGACATAGTAAGTAAATTTATATTTATACAAAGTACATGTGGTTTAAAGAAATATTTTGTTCAGTTTGATTCAATATAAAGAAAATTACATTTCATACAAGCATTTAATTGAATTACTTGTACGAGTCAGTACATCTTAAAGTACACAAAGTAAGGATTCATGACTTATATTATAGTTTTACACTATATTTAGTATATGCTGCAAAGCTAGCGGATTTAAGTAAGTAATTAAAAGTCAATTTTAATACCTGTCCATTGAATAATTTTGTAAAATCAGGGACGAGGTACTGGCGAAGACCTATCCATGCCCCGTCTAGTGTGACACCACGAATCAACAGAATTGTTAGTAATACATACGGCATAGTAGCTGTAACGTACACGACCTTTGGTAAAACAGATAAAATAAGTTGTTATTGTCAACATAATTTGGGTGTTCTGATAAGGTAACAGTCCCAAGAATAAATGGATGCATGACAGATTCCTTCGTCCACTGGTTTTAATGTTTCCAATCACTATTTATATAAGCCCCAAATGATACTTCTTAAATTTACAATGAGTGAAAACTAATTACAAGCGATTGATTAAAAATTCGCTGTTAATATGCAGTTATAATTTTCACATGTTAGACAAATCTCAAAGTAAATTAAGATGGATTTGAACTGAATAGATATATATGATAGCCAACCTTTCCAAGCGTTCTAACACCTCTCGCAAGACACAAAAAGACCAGAAACCACCCTAGAAATAGACATCCAATCAAATGGAGTTGAATCGATCCTATCTCTTCTATACCGTCTGATTTATGTAACACATTCCGCCTGGAATTAAAATAAAAGTTATATTAACTCTGTCACGTTTGGGGTAATTGAAACTACTGTATAAACAGTCGTCTGTCTCTGCATACCGTTTATAATAAATGAGTACCCTTTTTAGAAAATATCATTTCAGTGAGGGATTTTAAGGAACTCAACTGAGGTCCAAAAGACAAAAACATAAAATTTCAATTTCTTACATAGATCAGCTGGGATACTTACAAACAAAAGGACATATGCAAAAGATAATAATTAATTTACTCAGAAATATTTTGTATTTTGTACTATTTTTATCACGATTTCAGCTTCTCAATGCTTGCCAATTTTGAGTGAAAATGATCTGAAATTCTGTACACAAGTTTTTTGTCTAGATCTTCATCAAATAGAATGAATCTCGAAAAAAATATTTTTCTCTTAAGTCATTTCCATTTTTTTAAAGAACTCAGTAGTGTCCCTTTAAAATCCAGCATTTTCAACAAACACAGTAAGCTCATTATGATTAGTATTTAAATATTTAAGTGTTGTCTTGACAGCAATATCAAAATAAAGTTTTCGCAACAATTAAGCGTTTCAGAATAAAACGAAAACAATAGCCATGTTTAAAAATGTTAAAATTTAAAAGATAACAACGGTATACACTTTCATTTGTCATATTAAACATCACTCACTCCCAAAATTCAGTACCAGAAGTCTTGAATAAAGCGTGTGTTGAATTCGTACTTTCATTCTGCATTTTCTCGCTTAAGTTTGTTCTAGAGTCTGAAATACATTTGAAGTTTTGGAAATAAATCATCACTTGCACTGGTATTAAATAACAAAAGTATAAATTTTGATACAATCAACCACCAGTGGTGGTGATAGTTTTCATTCCGGATCACGGCAGTAAGCCACATTAATCACAGCAAAAGTAACCTGCACCGACCGAGAATCGAACCCGGATCGCCCGATTCACAGTACAACGCTCTAATTATTGAGCAGAACCTAACAGTCGTTTTACGACTCTATGTTCTGGATACTCCAAATTTCAAATAAGTTGCAAAGTGGTTTTATATTCCTTATACCTTAAAACCTGCTTATGTCTGTACTACCGTTGACAATTTTAAGATAAGACACAACGTTTCAGTAAATTTATACTTTACCTGTATCTTTTTCACATGAGATAATGAGGAAAGTGCAAAATAGGGAACGATCTGAGATAAGCATCGTATACGTCACTGATAAGAGACCTGTTCTAAAAATAGCCACATATCGATAACTTTCGGACAAGGAAACTGGTTAATCTACATGTAGATTATACAACATGTAATGGTTACGAATACTTTTATTCACATTTCTCTCAATGGAAATGATGTTCCTGGGGTTAAACTTGTGTAAAGCATGATTGAGATGGTTTAAAACCATCAGGAAAAAAAAGATGATATGGTGAAAAAGAAATAACTTTCGGGGCAATACTTTCCATGCATGTCAATTTGAGAAAAATGCCGGCGCTTGGCAATTTGTTTTTGTTTCACTGTTTATCAAAATTAGAAATGGTGATATGATATGGTATGATTTTAAGAAATTGGGACTAAAAATGAAAAAGTATCTTTCTGTCCCAGATATACCGTACAATTTTTTGTTTCTATGTAAAATACGCAGATTGGAGAAGTCATGAATCTATCCACCAAAGTGCTACCAGTATTAGATTAATGACTATAATATCTTAAATTAATTCTTTAATAATTTTAGAATACGCAAAACTCTGCGTTTTTCCTATTTTACCTAATAAAAAATGCCGATTCTAGTAGTTACTTTATCAGAAATAATGTATACGTACATGCATGCTTGCATGTATATTTAAACTGAATTGACAATTGAGGTCCGTGATTTAACATACACTGTTTACGTATAGACAATAAAATACATTTGTTTTTTTATTTTATGTCTCACACAAAATATTTGTTGTTAAAATCATCGCCAATTTAGAATTACTGGTGCATTTTGTAAACTTCGCCTCATCAATCAAAAGAGTCAAACTTTTTTTCCGCCTGAATGACAAAATCCGTTTTATTGACAAATATAGAGGCCAGAGCAGATTGTGACATATGTTTAAATTTAACTTTTCAAAAGTACAGTGTGTAGTTGTCCCTTTTCTTTTCACACTAAATTCCATTTCCAACTTTTTTGCATTCTACAATTTCTTAAAATATTGCATGTAAACAAAGTAAATATACGCTGATTAACATCATGTATAGTGTGAACTCCCTAATCCCTTGTCCGAAAGTCAGTACAGGTGATGTAGTGGTGATAAGGTAAAATCTATTTTTAGAACATTGTTACCTTCAGATCGAAGGCTATTAAGTGTAATGAGATACGAAGTGTGAGACGAAAAAAAGTGTTTGAACACCACTCTAAGTATAAACCGGACAAGGTGCTTGAATGATTAAATGCTAAAATCTCGCCTTTTCATCCACCAAAATGCACTTAAGAACGGCTTATTTATCTCCTAAGACTGACTAATGATATATGATTATGAATGAAAAATGTAAGAATCGCCGAAAAGAAAAAGAAGTTATTTTTCTACATGTTATCATGATTTATGTCAAGCGATTAGAGTTACTGCTACTAAAGTAGTGATTAAATCCGAATACAAACTTTATGTAAAATAAAGTAAAACCAGTAAACCTACCAATGCAATTAAATGTGTTCCAGGCATTATTACAGGACGACCACCCAAGTGTAGGATAGAACGACTGGATTAAAAAGTACAGAACCCAAGCAAAGGCTATCCCATAATACCAAAGGTAAGTGAATGATATAATTATCATGTTCAATCCTATACCTGAAATATAAAATAAAGGCAAGCGCAAATTTGAAAGCAACGGAAGCAAAATGCAAAGGTTAAATATGAACACACATAAAAAGATCAACAAGGAAGGGCTGCGTTCATTAAACTCAAACTCTCACAACTCAGCAACCTTACAGACTCTTTATAAAAAATATACAGTACCAAGATAATTTTCCGAAATTAAGAATTTACAATAAATTTAACACTTATAGATCAACAATTCTCAACAACAACCAAAATCACTTGCTCCCAATCGGTGCTGCTCTGAAAAAGTAAAACTGTACACCATGAAGGTGTTCAAACTTCATAATTGCGCAATGTGTTCCTTTCATGAAACCAAAGAAAATGCATTATTGCTGCGATATTTTAAAAGCAATTGTTGTCAGATATAATGTTTTCTATATTCTGTACCAATGTCTAGTACATGTTCTATTGGAGACTATCCTCACATTAACCAGAGAGTCATTGGCTTTTCTCATAACATCATATCAGGTTTTATTATCATGTAGATTCCTATTTTATCTCATTGTATTATTTTTATCGAAAACCTGTTTATGTGAATTAAGACAAAACATCTGTCTGATTTTAACCCACAGCGGGAGTCATCTTGAAGTCATCGTTTTAGTTAATAAATTTTACAACATTTTTTAATGTACCTTTAAACAGCGGGCATATATGCCAAACATTGACAGGCGACTGGCCGGAGAACTGACCTAGACATACTTCTATGTAGTAGATTGGTCCACAGCATACGACCACGAATATCATAAACGGAACCAAGGCGATACCTGCAAATACATTGAAGTTTTATAACGCTCTTACATTTGTATTTTATCATAAAATCAGTTAGAATAGAAATAAAGGTAATTCAAAATTAAAGCAAAGAGGGTTAATGAAAGTTATTTCACTAAGATTGAGAAAGGTATGTACCTTCTCACATAAGCGCAGACGTATAAATTTATATAAACCACGGACATTTTAAAGTCGATAAATGTTGTGTTGTTGTGACATTGATAAACGATTTTGTTTTTTCATACTGTCTATTTGATCATCGCAACAACCAAAAAAGATATAGTGAAACAGATATAGAGGTTTGTAAAAGGTCAATTTGGATAGAAATAGACCTCCTTCTCTCCATCGCAGAGCATATTTTATTAAGATAAGATAAAATCGCGAGGAGTAATAAATAAGTTGTTTGTATGGCTTTAGTAACAAGCAATTATCAGTTATCAATTGCAGGCAATAATAAAGTACCCTACCGGTTAAAACCCCACAAGAAATATTTCCGCGACTTTCTGAAAGTCAATGGCCTTTCTATTATGTCATTTTTGAATGGCATGTATGACCTTTGAGTTTTAGATTAACCTTAAGGATTTGTCTATATCATTTTAGGTGTTTAGTTTCCCTGTCTAGTGAGGTAATTGTGTTTATACAATCGATATCAAATGCTCAAGATTTCACATGATTAATGTTTCAATACTGCTCTGCTCTATCTTATGTAAATTTGTTGAAATAATTTCAAGAACTTAAAAAGAGATCTCAGGATACAATTTTTAGAGACGGACAGACAATCAGACGGAGGGCAACCTTAAGGCCCTGGTTGTCGCCAGTAAGGGACTAAAATGACAATTTGATAAACATCATCCGAATTGATATCTATCAGTATTTCAAGTTTTGTGGACAAATATCTGATGCATGAAAATAGTAACAGACTTAAAGATTGCCATTGAACAAACACAATGAGGTTAAGTTAAATATATCGGTATTTTTGCAACATTTTAAGTCTATTTATTACCATAACAACCAGATGTCAGAAAATAAAATGATGTGTATAATCTCTATACTTCCAACTGTTCATGTTTTAAGCTTTGTTAAAAATAGTATATTCAAGATATAAACGGGCCTAAATGTATTGCAATTTTCTATATGCTATAAGGAAGAAAGAAAATGACGTCCATAATATATATATATCCGCGCAGTCTGATCAGGATCCATGCTGTTCGCTTACAGACCCTATAACAAGTAAAGAAACTGATAGCGAACAGCATGGATACTGATCAGACTGCGCGGATGAGCAGGCTGGGTTGGATCCATGCTGATCGTAAACCCACTATGTTGGCTTTGTTATGACACAGCTCATATTTTATTCCATATTGAATCATAGTTACATCCATTTTTAGCAAACGGTACTCTCCTCATTGAATTATCGCAATACAAAATATAAAGAAACACAGAGTTATTGTGATAAACAACTTTTTCCTTTTTATGTTTGCGAGTCATAACTTAACAGTTAAACAAAGGGATTTTATATGACTAACTGTAGGAGTAATAGAATGAAGTTTACTATATGATTTTTTTGCAAAGCATTTATACATTAATTAAAACAGAAATAGGATTATAGGATTATTTTGTGATAACGAGGTAAAGTAAAACAGAGAAAGGTTTATATGAAAGGAATTATTTATTTTTTTTTCTTTTCGCTGTCAACTCAAATTCCGCCATTTTGAATGTATGTATCCTATGAGATACATATCTCCACAAAGGACAAAGTCACGCTCAAATCAATTGTAGATGGGAGTTGGATATTGGAAGGAAAAGGGAGGGGAGGGAGACAAAGCAATTAAAGAAAACAATAGAAATGTCAATAGTGTCAAAAATGTATTTTATTGATAGAGACTCGTTAATGTAATTATTTATATAAATTGAATACAAATACATTATAAGACAACAAAAATGAATGATGCAATACTAAGAAAGGCACACACATCACTTTTCATAAATATCAAACAACAGAACGGCATAAACATGACAATGTAATTCATAATTGTGTATAAACTGTTCACATGTAAAGTATATATATTTATTCATTTTAGCTAGTAAAAATTTTCTTCATTTTTATAAATGACATTCCGGCATGCGTTCAATATCACGCGTTACCAAAAGATATACGAACACACAATGTTATCTACAAAATCACTTAGCAATGAATTTCACATTTCTAATGATTGAAAACACACAGCAGTCAATGCAGCCAAAATTAACGAGGCTATTATTTGCCGAGAAATAGCGGTATCATCACCGATTTACGCCGTGAATGGTGCTTCCTTCTACGACTCGATTTAATAGGTTGAATTCCCCATTTCATGTTCTTGCAGTCGCATCCTTCTACCGGAGGAAGAAAATCAAATATGCAGACGGGGCATTTGATACGGAAACATTCCGAATATTGCAACACACATAAACTCATGACAGCGAGGAACAATAGAGTTCTCATCATCTTTGAGTGTGATTTCAATCTAAAATGATAAAAAAAACATCTGCTATAAAAGACGGTATCTTCTTATTTAAAATCAATGTTTATTATTACAGAAATGTTAATGTGTTTATTTGCAAGTTTTGTATGCACTTAGAAATCTAAAAAAATGTTTCAAAACAGGTATTTTTTACAATTCTGATATGTAGTTTTGCCGATCCAGTCTCTCAATTACAAAATCACATATAAACATAATTTGATCTAAGATGATAAATTATCTGGCACTCCTCTTTTTTTGCCAGTTTTTAAGCTAAAATTAAAATCTCAAGCGTTTGTTTTCCACAGGTATATTATATTTACATTAAAAACGTTTGTTTCATATTTACGAGTATATAGGTATTTTTTTTCTTCAAACAGTCTAAATACATGTAAACAAATATAGAATGTGCGTTTTTATAAGATACTAAACGTACTTTTTACATATATGAATGACACATGCAACTTCAAACTGTTTGCAAATAAAGGTATAAACACATTCTTTTGAGTATATCAATAAAAATAATCAATGTGAAATTAATTTACATGTTAAATGCTCAAAATATTATCATATTTTTCTTAAAGGGACTCCACTGAGGTTTTTTGACTGGAAATAATTTTTTGAGAACATTACTCCATTTGATGTAGATCTATACTAATAACTTATGTGCAAAATTTCAGATCATTAGCTTGCTCCGTTTTTCCAGAATAATTATTATAATAGTGAAAAATGACCCAAAATTGAAAAGTGTTTAAACGCTTTTCACTCAAATCAGACTGAGAATAGCACAAACATATGATTTTCAATGCATTTCTTCTATATTTCTTGGTTATATTTTATTAATATTTATGTTTTAAGCGCTCATGTTTATCTATGGAAAAAAATTTTCATGTTTTTAGGCTTATAAACCTCAGTGGAGTTCCTTTAAAATACTCTGTAAAAATGTAGAAGAAAACTTACCTGAATGCCTTTACTTCTGGACAAAAGCTCCAAACCTCAGCTGACAATGACTTTTTCTTCTGATGAAGCGGCTATTTATGTGTTGTAGTCATTCATGAAGGACCAATCAAAATTTACGTCTTTGCCTATCCTTAGAAGTAAACTCGTTAATTTATCAAATTACCACCGCTTAGTGGAGGAAAACGCGGAAGGATGAAATTCCTTTCTACCAAACTTTATTCCTTTTTCTTTTTTTATTGATAATGCCATTACTTATGGTATGGTTGTCTTAATTAATTCTTGTAATTTTGAGATTTAATGTAAATCCTTTTATATTCTCGTACTATTTATTTCGCGAAAAAATGCCTGAATTATTTCGCGGATGCATAAGTTCGCGAAGGCAGAGACAGAATAAAATTCGCAATTTTCGTCGGATATGTTTTGGGAGCAAAAGGAAAGTGGAAAAATATGTTAGTAAATCTTGAAAACTTTATTAGTATGTGCACACATTATTTTTAAACGGTATTTGTATTCCTTATCAAACTAGTGCACCATTCGGACAATTTTGAATCGGATTTAATTTTGTAAAATGTATGTTATGTTAAAGATAAACTATGCTCATCCTTGCGTAACATATTTTTATCAAAGAAATTTACTAAAATATATGTAATTCTTACTGTAAATGTCCAATTTGAATAAAAGAATGAATAAATTATGTATTGTAAGCTGCGTTCCCTATAACAGGTCAAGTAAAATTGGTCTTTTCTTTAAAAAATGCCAGTTTTTTTAATGATACTATATAAGTATACTATTAATAATTGTTACCACCTGCAGTGTGTAGAATTTTACACACAACATATCTACTTTGTGTGAAGTTAAATCATAGTTATTTTATATTTACAAAGAAACTGTGTAGCAAGCATACATATTTTCAAATATGAAATTTGAGCATAGTATATCTTTAAAAAATACGCGGCACCATGATTTCGCGACGCAAACGATCCGTGAATGGTAGCGAAAACTGAAACATTGCACATAATACTGAATTTACAGTTTATATTCAAAATTTAATGATAATAACTAAATATATCATGGAAAATAGATTTCTTGAAAGGTTTATATTCCTAAAAATACGCACAGAAGTTAATTTCTGAGTAAAGTGTACTCTCAGAAATATATATAAAAATAGATGAACGCTTTGACTTAGTATTTGATTGGCAAAGAGGAGTATTCCGATTGTTTGTACCACCATGAGTATAAATTATAGAAACTAGGAGGTATAAAAAAACAACGAATCGGGTCTTGACTGGATATTTCTCTATAGTTGAAGACTAAATGTTAATTCTCAACATGGTATCAGTCCATGAATATGTAATGATATGTTTGAAATAATGTATTTTTGTAGATTAACTGATTTTTGTATTAAATTGTAACCGGCCTGAATGTGACTCACTCCTTTTTGTTTTCATTGTAACTTTGAAATCATTTCATGACAAAGCAGAAAATTGCAGGTTAATACAGGTACAGATTTGCAAAACACTTACAAGTTCGTTAAATGGCTGTCGTTCAGCGATCAATAAAAAAATAAAACAAAACAAACATACAATAAATGCACAAATAATTCAGTTAGTAACAAACCAATATAAGTTCATTCTAACAATTGAACTTACGTTAGATGTAATGTGTACAAAGGAACGGATGATACAGATTTTAAAAGGAAAATTCATGCTTCTATTGTTAATTCAAATTATCAAAATGTACGGAAATTCCGTCGGAACTGTATAAAATGTACGGAAATTCCGTCGGAACTGTATAAAACAGGCGTGTTTGTTTATTCCGTAAGAGCCAATAACATATGTACGAAATCATTGAACCTTGCATTAAAATAACACTATATTTATTTTTTGTTCCGTAAATATTTTATCCTGTTTACTTTCAATATGGGTAGTAAATAACAGAGACGTTGTATATGAGAATCGACTATAAATTTATGTAAACTACATAATTTTACCGTATATTTATACTCCTTAAATATAGATATGATATAGCCTTATACGCGTTAAAGCTACAGGCCTCCAGATAGATGAGCTGCTTTTTAAAAACAAAAATGAGAAACATGTACTACGATTTTAGGAAAGGTAATAAAATTCAAGATTCAAGTAATAATTTATATGTTGTGTGCGGTTAATGACTGATTTTTCAGTATTTACATCTATATTTCTACTGCGTTACTAACGCAGTAAGAGCTATTTTACGTATTTTGACATATTTTTGGTGGTTTACATACATTACGAGTGTCATTTATAATGTGTAAATTGCTTCCGTTTGGTTACTTCACAATAATATACTTTTAAATACATTTGCTGCTTACAACTAAACATTTCTTTAATGAAATACAAAATAAAGTGTTGATTTTTTTTACAAAAGAAAGGCAGTATTTTAAATTGAAAAATCACTATTATTCAGACAAGTAAATTGATTTAGTGTTTAAAATTATTTATATAAATGGTCTCGCGCACATTGGTTACTGTTGTAATTTTGTAAATGCTTACTAGGGGAATTCTATTTTAAAGTCACTGCAAACACTAACCTTAATACAAAATAAAATCTGATGTTAAACCATCCAAAAGGTACCATAGACAGCACTAGACAGTCAAGGAAATAACATCATTTTCAACCTCAGATTTCAAATTTGTCTCTGTCTATGCATGGGAGGGGATACCTCCCCTAGACGCACCCCAATCACCTACATTTTTCTTTATTCTATTCTTATCGTCTAAACATGCGTACAAAATAAAATGTTTTCTGATAAGGTGAGCTATAAAAGAATCTATTACAATTTTTGTCACATGAACAAGATGCCGGCCCAATCTTCAAACATGCGCACTTTTCCCCTATCGCATTGTTTTTCTTTTGTGTTTTGTATATGGTACCTTTTGGATGGTTTAACATCTTCCACCCACATTCCAGCTTCGCAGCTAACCTTGTTCTGTATCCGCCACTGTTTAAGCAAATTGATTTTGTGAAGAATTAATTTCTCATTTGATTAGTAAATTATGTACATCATATAATAATTAATATTGAAATCAGACTAAAGAAAATTTAAAATTAAATTTCTACAGAAATGTGTTTTTCCCCCATCAGATATAATATTATAACATTCTTTTATATTGTATTTGCAGGTTAAGATACAATACTTATTGTTCGTTCATACAAAATGTCTAAAATAGACCATGTTCATAAAGTGTGTAAGCAATGTAAGAATATCCACAATTAAGACCACCCCACAATTTAGACCACTTTGGTCAAGTCCTGATGGTGGTCTTAATTGAGGGGTTTTACTGTATAATGTTTTAATTATTTATTTGGACTCAACTGATGTTTTTAGACATTACGGGGCTGAAAATACATTCCCGATATTTGTGTTACAGTTGATTTAGGTCTTTTTCTATAACTTGTTTGCAAATTTTAGCTCATTCCCTCGTCCTGTATTTTTCTATTGTGAAAAATAGCCCAAAAAGTAAAAGGTTGCAACGCTTTTTTCTCAAATTTGGCTAATAATGACATGTCTTTGCAGATTTTAAATATTTAGCGTTCACTTGATTTTTGTAAAAACAATTAATTTAATGGTTTTTTTTATTGCTTTAGATCTCCATCAAGTCATATTTACTTATAAATTATGATAACATTAAACAATTAAAAATGAAAATGTTGATTTGATACAAAAGTTTTTAACATATAATATCTCGATTATTCTTTTTCATGCGCCATTAATTTTTACAACTGTCATATAGATCTACATGTATTATCATTAATATAGACACACGCGTTAGGTTCATGTGCGTGCACATGAATTCAGTTAACTTTATCATGTACAATGTTTCTCACTCCACTGATCTTGTATTTAATCAATTCGATCATTTTAAAAGTTTTGAGACATTACCACTTAATGTCGTGTGATATAGTTATAATTACGATTGTTACATTCGCACGCTTCACCGCTTCTATCATTTAGAAATCGTTCCAAATTCAAATAATTTATTTTGTGGTAGCAATGTTTTTACACTGTAAATGTTACAAAACTGAAATAAGCAAGTATAAAAGAAATATCGTGGAAGAAAATCTCTCGGGACTTGAAAATATTAGTACATATCTTTTAAATATTTTGAATATTTTTGCTAAAATTATTATTTCTGCTTTTAATAATGGCTGATTGTCCAAAATTTCGAGACTGATAATGAGAAGGATTGTTTCACTTTTGCTTTTTTTGTTTCCTAAAATCGCCTATTTTCTTGTTGTTTTTTTTTTCTTCTTCTTATTTTTTTTTTTTAGCAATCATAAAGTTTGCCAAGCTTACACATAAATTACCTACCCTTGAAACTATCTGAAATCAATTTAAATGGCAGAAGACTTGAAAACGAGGTAGGAGGCCCATCTCAAAATTTTTCTGTTATCGTATTCTAAGATCATCCAAGGTGTTAGAATAATCTGCTATAAGATTTCCATTTTGCTATATGCTACAACGAACTTAAATCACATACCTTTCTGAAAAAATTAATACAGATTTTAACGTGGATCTCTTAAAGATATGTTGAGCCTCAGACATGTGCACGAGTTATCTCTGAAGAAAAGACAAATTTAAAGAAATCGGTGTTCAGTGAGTGAGAAAAAAGAAGTGTTATAAATTTTCGTAAACAACCAATGGACAAATGGCAAAACATAATAATTCAAAAGATGGTTTAGTTATATGGTTAATGTGTATCATTTCGGGATCCTTAATAAGATGTGCAATGAGGTACATTTTATTTGGACATTTAGCGGTAAAATCATGTATGAATGCAATATTATTAGTCCTGAAGGAATTCACAATATTTCTTGCTGCATGGCTAACGTCATACGGCATTATCCTGTTGTTGGCATTGTTTTGGTGTGTCATCCAAGATTCTCATTTCGGTAGCGTTGGACATTCAAATTAACGCCGATCACCACGAGAGGTGTTAGATAATTATGCGCAATACCTGCCCAGACCAAGACAGAACCTCCGCCCAATAAACGATCTCGTTCAGTAGTCAACAGTCGGCATAGCGTTCATAACTTCTTTTTGTTTTTTCCGCCCAAAGCAGATCATGAAAAGTCGCTTCGTATAGGTACGAAATGTAAAACTGGAAATGACTTCCTAACGGAAGTTACGTCGGCATAAACATAAACGAGATCAATAATAACATTATCAATTTCTTTTTCAGGCAGGTGCATGGTTATCATAATACATTCCACACAAAATTGATTTCTTTATGACATTTTATATATATATATGTCAAAAACATTTACTACGTATTAATTAAAACGACACCAGTCGCTTTTTGTGTCACGGTTCAGAACTGTTCACTATTTTGTGTGAGCGACCGGATGGCTCAGCCGGTACAGTCGCGGAGCGGTGTTCATATAAGAAAACAGAATATCACACGACCGCTCTAATGAGTGGACGGTATTGTAATAAGTCTTAACACAATTTTCTATGTAAATAATGGTTTATTAAGAAATAAAAAAATTCTGATCAATTTGAATTAGCACTTTGATTTTTTTCTTCGTTATTATTATTATTATTATTATTATTATTATTATTGGCCATTCCGAACCTAATCGGAATGAATCTTAAAATGTAAACTATTGTTTATCGTCAAATGCCCGCCACACCTAACACACACACGAATACACACAAAAACCATAAAATCAAGACAGTTTAGGTTCACCTCACACATTTTGCAACTCTGCTTATCGGGTGGTCGATCTTTCTACCAACATAAACTTTAGTTAAATTCTGTATATTCATAATCAAAAATAACAAAATGTTTACAAAATTGATGCATATTGAGGCGAAAATTATCAAAAACTTACCGCCACCGTTCCTGAAGCAAAAATAAGGAAAACGCCAAATATTCCCTAAACCGACTGTATATCCTACAATGGAGAGTACAAACTCAAACTGGCCGCTCCAAGTTTCCCTTTTCGTTCGACCATTTGTATTATCGTCCATTGAATGTCCTGTATTATCACTATCAATTTCGACAAAAGCATGGCTAAAGCTTTCGCTTTCTTTTTCGTCATCTTCAAATGTTCTCATGACATTTAAATTTGATACCTCCTCAGCCATTTCAATACAACTTAATAGAGTCGTTATTTAAATAAAATGGATGATTATTTGAAACAGCATATCTGCTAACTGTTCACAAATGCCTTCAAATACATACTAACCTGTCTGAATTATAGCCCGTGTACTGTTGTTTTTTTCTCGATAGACAAGAAAGTCCTGATTGGCCTAAATCCATCACCTGATATCCAATGCTTTGTCAATATTTTGAGAGTAATTATTACAGAAGTAATTAGATGATATTATGTCATCTTTACACAATTGCCTGATTTATAAATCATTGATAGATTTCAACTAACAAATGCTGCTTTGTAGTTTTCGTGGTTTCATAAAAAATCTATGGACGGTTCAATTTGGCCATGATGCCGAGGTTTTTAGTGGACCTCAAGGTGTTGCTAAATATCTAAGTGTTTGTAAATCCTTTTTGTATCAAAGTGACATGGCTGATTTAAATTTTGTAGAGGTCCACTACGCAAAGCTTAGTGCCAAAATATCTAAACTCTGGGCATTAAATTTTCAAAACAGAAGTTTTGATAACACTTTATAGCCTAAGTAACCCAGGTGCGGGGTCAATTTTGACCCTAGGTCAATGGTTCATATGACTGTTTTACAAGAGCACAAGTTGGTGATTCATGATAAATATCTAAGCTGCTGTAGTTAAGGAGAAGAAGAAGTTAAAGACATTTTAAAAATGAAGGGGTGAATTTTATTAACATCTGCAGAAGCACGAGATCGCTTTTCAAGTCCGGGCTTGCAGTGCGATGTATTTAATAAATGCGAGAACTTCTGCGAAATAAAGACTTATATAATGTAGGCCTATGTAGATGTCTACCAGGCAATTCTGTATATCAAACAATCTAAGCTCTGGGCTTAGTCGTTTACTTAAGTCTTTATAGACTAGATAACATCGGAATGGGGCCAATTTTGACCTCCGTGGCATGTTTTCTATAAATTATGTAAAGGACCACAAGTTGGTTGATGTTTCATGCTAAATATCTAAGCAGTGGACATTGTACTTAAGGAAAAATATTTTAAGAATTTTTGGAATACACGCTTATATCTCATACACTGTGTTTTGTCCCAGAGCGGGGTCATTTTTATTCCCAGGAGCATTACACTTATAACGTTAGAGGAGGCCCAATATGTGATGTTTCAAGCTACAAGAAAGGGTTTATAAAAAAAAATCATAGGTAATTTTTTTAATTGTTTTGTATAGGGTTACAAAAGGATCATTGATATAAAGTTTGGTCAACATCCACCATCTGGCTAAGGAGGATATTTTATTTGAAGAAATAGTTCAAATCGATTCACAACATAATAAAACATCTGAGCACTTTTCGCTCAACTGAACTAAGCTAAAATGCATTGCGCGCTTTCTCGGTGAACCGGAAAACTGCCGTACATCATTCTTTAAAACGTATGTAAAATACATTACACATGTTATTATGTACATTCATTAAAATTTTAATGTGCATATGCATTCTAAAACTTAATCAGTATCACTTTCAGTTGTAAAGTATCTAGTTGTCAGAGAACCGAACAAATACTTCGAAATACTTTTGTCAAAATTATAACTTTAAAAGCAAGGAAAATATATATTCTTTAGAACAATATTTTATAATGTGTCTACAATAATTAGTAAGTTGATAGCTATATACTATCGTTTATTCAATGTAAATAATTATCATTAGTCAGTGTTTTTCGGGAAAGAGCTATAAACATGTTTCATATACACACTGTAGTGATAAACGTTTTTAAGGTACTGATTAGTTATGGTCCCCGATAAATAACCCAACCCACTGATAAACAAAAGAGGGAGCGCGTGCGAATTGTACAGCAGCTGCTTCATAAGTGCAGCTTTCGATGAATCATAGGTTTAATGCGAGATGAGAAAAACCCGTGTGAATCGTTAAAATTATTTTCTAATTCGCTTGCTCAAACGAAAATAAATTATTTATTCTCTTTAAAGCTATTAAGCATAATAAACAACGAGAACATAATTTAGGATTGGCCAATTGCATTGCTTTTATTATATCAGAAATACAGAAAATAAATTCAAAATAAATCATTAATTTTGAACTTTGCCTCTTCTCACTTAATGAAAGCATCACCTGTTAAATATAACAAAAAAATGAATAACATCGTGAAATGACTTCTTTTTCTTTAAAACAAAACCTGATATGATACCAGCTTTACCACATCAAAATTGTGGGTGGAGGATGGATGGAAAATAAACATGCAAATAAAGCAATGAATTATTTCGGACTAATTTGAAACTACCTTTCGATACTTTATAAGAAACTGATACGCTTAGTTGATTGCACGAAATTCTCGTGCAACACAATCTTTACACAATTACTATATATTACAGCAAATTAATAACTCAACAAGAATAGATACATTTATTTTTAATTCCTTGCTAAAAAACGAAAATAAATTATATTTTTTCCCTTAAAAGCTATTAAGCATAAATAAACAACGAACATAATTAGGATTGGCCAATTGCATTGCTTTTTATTTCGAGCAAAACAAAGAACGGGAAATTAACGTTAATTAACTTTAACATTGAAAAAAAATTCTATAAATTTGTTCTATGAAAACTTTAACAATTCACTGAAATAAATTTTTACAAATCATACTTTTTGCTAATCAAATATTCATTAATACCAAAATTTTTTTTGACACTAAAGAAGTTTACTAAATCATCTTTTAATATACCATCTTTACCTTTTCGGACCGCCAACGGCCATGTCTTTTAAACAAACGGTCCGGAATTCCGGAAGTTTTAGCCGCAGCTGTAGCATCACCGGACCTAAGCTAAACCCAAATTTTTTTCTCTAAACCAATCGCAGAAAAACATGTTAAGTACAATTTCTCTAACCCAGTATATGTACAAATGATTAAACATCCTTTTATTTATAAGTATTGTTGATTTTACACGTAAGACACTAACGGAAAAAAATAAAATCGTTCGAACCAACCGTATATTACTCATATCATATAATTCTCTAACAAATACATCGGCATGTCTTTTTTACCATCCTAACTATAATACATTTTTGCCTTCAATGATATATGTCGTTTTGCTTTTTGAACCTTATATAAATACCAAACATGGATCCTGAAAAAAACTGAAGATCTGATCGTCTTAAGTCACTTAACTCCCAGAAAATCGTAAAAAATCCTGCAAAGCTACAAAACGCATAATAAATTTCTCAAATACATTAAATTTTGAAATATTTCACTCCAAACCTTCCATAAGTTAATTTAAAACATTAAAGGAGCACAGGTTTTTTTTCGACACAGAATGTCCCAAAAGCCGGTGTGCTGCTTCCCTGACTGATTAATCAAGAGAGTCACAAGGGATAGAAACTAAAACCAGCCAAATCATGAGCCCATTTGTACGAATAAAACTTCATCAACGAAGTTGGGGAAATTTGATCTCTGTAACTGAATGAAATAAAGCCAAATTCAAATACTGCTGGTATAGATTCGAACCTTGTTTCCGTGTCCAAAAAAACCAATTTTTCCGAAAAACTCTTTGATTACTTTTCACAGTGTTGGAACTTTAGATTCAATATAAAAAATTGGGTAACATCAGCAGCTAAGGAAATACAACTCCGGATCTTGAAAATCAATGTATTGACCTTCTTTCGTGCGATCAGATATGTAAAATGGTATAAAAAGAAAGACAAAAAAAAGTGCGTGCATTTAAAAGCTATTTAACAAAATAATTTTAAAACTCAAAATACACTGATATTACAAAATTTTTAAACAATATTAGCCGTGCAAAAATGTTTCAAGTTAACCTTCTAGACTTTTCCTATCCAACAAATTTTGCCAACCTGTTTATGGCAAATCATCTATAAACACAAAACTATTACAACGCCAACCTGTTATGCAAAACACATACAAGAAAGAAAAACAATCTTTCAAAAAATAACTTCTGATAATCATACCGATATAAACAGTCACGAAAAAATCACTGCAATTGAAGAAAACATGAAACTCAAATTATCCCTTATAAATACAATAACCACCCAATAAAGTTAAAACTCAAATTGACACTAAAAATCTTAACTGGAACCGAAAATATATTCTTATTAAAATATTGTATAAATATGTTTATCTATCTTTTCGAAAAAAAACAGTCCGCGATATTACGGTTTTTAACTTGACTGTAATTCTCCCGTTAACATAGGCCAAAAAATGCTGAAGGGGCCAATAAGGTGCTATCAAAGTCCCCGAGCTTTTACAAGCCAACAGAATATTTATAACTCCGGGAACTAAAGCTACAGGAGGTACTAACCTTATTTTCATTAGCCCAATTTACAGAAAAACGCGTCAACTTTCATCAATGCCCGGGAACCCAAATAAACTGTTAAACGAACAATTTTTCGATTATAATGGTTCGCAAAAATCTACTGTATAGGTCCCAACTTAAACAATGAAATCAAAAAAAACCTCCCTAAACGCCCCAGTCATCAACATCACATAATTTTACTATAATAATCAGCCAAAAACATTAGATTCTCTGGGAATTTCCATGTCATATGTAAAGAAAATCTGATGTTTAATGCACAATTCAAATAATATCTAAAAGCTATCCTTGTAATCTAATGACGTACTCCCCCATCAACATATGAACACAATTCTATTATCTAATAACTCAAACACCCCCCCCCCCCCTATAAATGGTAAAAAAACTTTTTAAGGCAAATAAAAAAGCAGTTTTAACCCGCCATGTAGAACTGGTGTCCTTCTCATAACTGAGACCAATTCGGTATGACAAATTTTTATCGCATATTATCTTTTCAATATAAGCAGCGCAGGCTATTTGGCTTGCATCAGAATAGACAGTTACTGACTCAATAACTATATGAAACAAGATCTAAGGTTGGTTTACTTATTACTTTCTTTTTCCAGAATTTGATTTCTCGAATAGCTCCCTTAAACCGGCTAATATCTAAAACAGAGTCCCAACCCTAATTTCTCATTTCTAGATTCAATGACATGATGCAAATGTTTTGTCATTAATTTGCAAATATTACCTATAACAGGCATTAATGAAATAATTTTCCCTGTAAACTTTGCTATTTCTCGTGCATTTAACAGAGGAATTTTCGCATTAC